GCAGCGGCCTTCGCTCGGCCCCGTAGTTTCGCAGCTGGTAACTCCATGCTCACCCCCGACCGTGTCTCAGAGCTGACTGGGGTACGCCGGCGAGACCTCAAAAGACGTTGCTCAATTTTTCCCTCTTAAAATAGCAGACATCAGATTTTTTTTTTTTCCGTTAAGTTCTCACTTCTGCTTCAGGAACTGACTCAACAGGAGAATTTATGCTAATGTACGCTTCGAAAATTCAAGTGAGTTGAGGTGCCAACCCTCCCAAAACCCGACCAGGACAACGGCGCTGTCTGAAAATCAAATTTCAGCTGCGAGGCACAACGTGAGCCACAGAGAAACCAAACGGTAACGTGTCTAGCTTGGCTCTCGGCAAGGGAGGTCTCCGGACGCTTCTGGTCTTTCTCTCAATTTTCCTATTCCCCCCAAATGAAGCATTTTGCACGCACACCACTAACTTAAATTGTTCTCAAACGCGGGTTTATTTTTGCCAGCATTCACACATTTCCAGAACGTGTTTTCAGCCCGCTTTTGGGTGGTAGTTTCTTGCCGCTGGAGAGGGGACACCAGCAGACCGCTGCCTAACCAACACCGTGAGCTCTCTGTTCATCGCTGCTGACGAACAGGAGAGATGACAGGTGTGACCGACCTGCACTACGACTGGACAGAGTGACAGAATCTATTTCCAGACCACCCCAGCCATCACTACTGGTGATGCCACCACCGCTGCAGAAATCTGCTCAGCAGACCCTACCTCAACCCATTTCCCCAGCTACATCATGTTCTTCAGTGGGACATCTTTCTGCAGGAGATACCCGCCCCAGGACGTCCACAACCCATCAAGTGAGACAGACAAGGCAGCCTCCTCTCTGATGTGGGTGCCAACTGCTAAGTATAATTAATACCAGCTCTTATATTTTTACTTTTTAGCCAACGTGCCATTAAAAACCAAAGCAAAGACTCACCGTCGCCTTACAGCTCATGGGAAAGAAAATATATTCCAGTGGGCTCTGGCAGCAAATCAAGAAAAAGGCGATGCCTGAGTTACGTTTCCGGCTCTCTGGCTTTGGGTGCTGGAGATATTTCTCCAAGATATTTCCAATTACTGCCCCGAGTTGCTTGTTACAGCCTCCACAGCTAAAAAACCCAGGGACTCGCAGTCAGTTGGGCTACTTTATATTGAAACACGTCTCATAAATTAGCTCTGCAAGAAACAGCCCTTTGAATTCAGGGTGTATTAAGCTCTTTTGGCTTCCTCCGCTCCTCGGAGTTCTGCCTGGGACAGACATCAATCTCTTATTTTCCTCTTTGCTTCTTGTAATAGCCACGATAGAACGATTACATCAAAGGCAGGCATTCAGAGCACGTCCTAAAGGCTCCAAGTCTCTGGTAGCGCCTTCTTCTTTAGAAACTCCACTCCGCCAACAAAATTTTTCCTGTTTTGTTCCCCGAGAAGCGCTGGTCCCTCACCGCGGCCGGCAAAGCTACTAGAGAAAAACCAGAATTTAATAACAAAAGCATCTGCGTGTCGGTGATGACTTTTAACTGGAGCAACGTTTTTAGTAAGGATCGCAGGCTGAAAGCTGAGTTCCTCTCTTGATAATATCTGTATTTTTTTTTTTTCCTTGTAATGAAGATGAGTAGGAATTAATTAGTTTAAAAGCCACGTGCTCTTGCCCTTTGCAGGTAACAGCTCTGCCCATCCTGAAAACCTCAAGATAATCGTTCCTGGGCAGGCAGGAATGAGATCTGCTGCCTGCGCGCTCGCAGTAGGGTGAACGTTTCACCCTTTATAGTGTTAAATAAAAAGGAAACCCAAGCATACTCCCATTTCTGCAAAACAGAAGAATACAACAGAGGTGCTCCTGCAGATGTCCTCTGATCTTGGAAACCTGGCGGAGACCTAATGCCAGCGGAAAGGAAAGAGAAGAGGTTCCACTGGATCCCAAAAGGGTCAGCTCTGCTCAGCTCCTGTCCCTTCCTGCAAGCACTGAAAAATTCATTGTCTTGGGCTGTAAAAAAGAACTGCTGGAGAATAAAATGTTTAAAGAAAAGCCTCTGTGGTCTGAACACACTTGCTTCCCTATGCAGAGCTTGACAGAGCAAAAACTACCAAGTGTTGTTTCCCTGACTGGTAGATAGAAGGTGTATTCTGTAAAGCGCTTGAGGAACAAGCAAATAATTTCAGTCACCCCTGAAAAGCTGTGGCCTCCATCCCAAAATATGGGATACACCTGCAAGTCTCAACAGCACTGCCCTGCCACGGCAGGGAGGAGGTAGATCAGCGTCTCCTTCAGAATCCTCCACATTTTTAGGCCAACCAGGTTACAACTACGAAAAGGACGCTCAGGAGTAAGAGCTGCAGCAATTAGATTGTTCTCAGAAGTCTTGGGTCCGAGCACTCTCCCAGTCAAATCGGGCCGGCTACCACTAAAGGGAATAAAGTGGTACGATTTGTGGCCACCAAACTGCTGTGCAGTAAGTACACCCTTCTGCTGGAAACCCCGAAGAAACACTGTTAAAAGTCACAGAGCTCACGCTTACCACCACGTGCTGGAGAAGTTTCCCTTATCCCAATTCTTATCGTACCTCCAGAGATCACAAAAGACCACTCTTGGCCTTCAGTCCAAGGAAAGAATATAATAATACAGCCCTTTCTCCTCGCTCCTGAAATCCAGAACCTGTATTCTCCAGCGTGTGGCCCAGACATGCAATTCCTCACGCAGCCTAGACGGACGCCCCAATTAGCAGTCACCTTCAGATGACGTTATTTAAATCTCTCTTCCTCTCTCCGAGGAAGAATTGGAAAATTATTGCTAAAAAAAAAAAAAAAAGGTGGTCAGAGAAATGCAACGCAGTTATACATCACTAAAGAAGGGGTAAAGCACAAAAACCTGACTTGAAGAGTATTGTGCTTTCCTTGAAGTACTGAGCTTTTAACAGCGACCAGAGTTTCAAGTGATCTTTTATGTGACTTGAGAAATATTTGTTTCTCTGTTGCCAAACCCAATGTATTGGGCAATGTGTGCTGTCTAGCCTAATGACATTAGAGCATTAAAATTAATCTTCTGCATAATTAAAAGCCCAAAACACATTAATATTATTTTTTTTAATTTAAACTACAGGGCACTACAAAGCAAGCAATAATACTGCAAGCTGGAACCTGGCTGCATAAAACCCTATTTACAGAGGCAGGCTCATTTCTCTGCTTTGTAAGGAAATTAATTTGTGTTATGAAGTAGCTCAGGTTGAAAGAACAACAAGTGCCAGAGCAGTGAAATGACCCAAGTAAAATAAAAATAGAAAAAGATTAACAGAAAAAAAAAAAACCAACCCCGTGGCTGGTACAGTGAAGGGATCTTTCTGATCTTCCCTAGATATTGGATTTTATTTAAGATCCAGCATATTGACCTAGCGCAGCACTATACAAACATGGAACAAGGCCAATCTCAGCTTTTCATTTAATTTAATCCATGGCAGAGTGTAGCCCTGGATGCTACCGATGCCACTGCACATCTATCGCTTGCTTATGAAAGAATAAACTAAAACCAACCCACCCTATCTTAAATGTTACTTAAAAAAAAAAAAAAAAGCCCTAAACCCCAAATCACAACCTACTGTTTCTCCTTTTTTTTCTGGCCCAAACTTCACCAAATTCAAAGGCTATATTTAACAACCTCAGCTTCCCAGCTCTGAAAGGACTGCAAATCAGGGTAGAAAAGATGCGACACATTCAGAGGCTTTAACACTGCTGGGCGGGCACAATAGCCACCATTATACTCCCCCCAGCAGCTAAATACAAGTAATTGATTGATTGAACTTCTCTTCCACAGTTTCATTTCCAGGAAGTCCTGAAAAAAAAAGCAGTTTTCTATGGAAAAAACAGCAAATAAAAATTGACAGCAGTCTATATGAATCCATTAAACGCTAAACCAGCGATGGGATGGGATGCTGACACCACAGACAGAGAAAACAGCCTGGATTTTAAAAGGCAGCTACAGCAATGTCGATTTTCAGTAATTTGTAACAAGTCCTGACACCTCCCGAACTAAAGCACCTTGTTTTCTGAAAATTTCAAGAATAACGAGATGAGAACAGCAGAGCCAAGTGAGGAGAAGGGGGACATTTCGCTCCCGTGTTACTTTCGCAGAGGAAAACCAGATGCATCGTTAATTAAGGCCGGGCAGATTGAGGTGTGTGACACTGGGTGCTCCAGTCGTTTGGAAGAGCTTTAATGGTCCATTTCATTTACCCACCTCTGGTAACACCACAGAACACTTTTATACATATAAATTGGAAAAAAAAACCCCACCCCACTCGTTTCCAGGAGCCGTTAGCTCAGAAGGTTCATCCAAAAAAGACAGCTACAGTCTGAACGTCACTCTGGGTTTAGGTGCAGGCTGGTGAATCCAGAACAGATCCTCAAACCTCGGAGAGGACAAGAGCAGCGTCCTCTGAATTCCCCCGTTAACAGCACTTGGGAGTGCTGCCCTGGATCCCCGTGAAAGGAAAACGCTGGCAGCTGACATGAACCCAGCCAACCCTGGGACGCACAGCCAAGCGGGCTACCTCTTTTGTGAGCAATTATCAGCTTTTTGTCTGTCCCTGCAAACAAAGACGGGCCTTTTGCAATCACAATAAAGGTCACGCCACACAATCAGACTTTTTTTTTTTTTTTTTGGCAGATAGAAACAGAAACATGTGATGGAAGAAGAACCCCAAAGTCCCCTTTCCTTCATCCTCCGGTTTACCGCCCGCGACCGCAGTGCCCGACGCTTACCTGGGACAGGACTCTTGCTCGAGTTTAAACTCTGAGCCTCTGTGCTCTCCTCCAGTTGCCCATCTGCTTCTGTCTCTTCCTTCTTTTCAGCATCTTTTACCTCTTCACTAAGAGTAGTTCTTGTGCTCTCCTCTCCTTCTAAATCTCCCTGAACAACAGGGAGGGCACTAGGAGACGGAAGAGGAGGTGGAGAAGGAGTTGTAGTGGTAACAGCAGCAACAGAAATCGGAGGAGAAGGTGGCGGGGGGGTGGGAGGTGGGGTGGGAGGAGGAGAGGGAGCAGCGTGAAGAGCACTGGAAGATGGCACGCTTTCCACTTCTGCTGGAGGTGCTTCTGGTGTCTCCAACTCAACAGTCAATGGCGCAACTTCCGTCTGGGCTACATCTACTACGCTCTCTGCAGCAGTTACTTTTTCACTAACTCCGTTCATTTCATTAATTAGATTAGTACTAGCAGTCACTGGAATATCACTAGATGCTACACTACTAGGCTCCTTGCACACCTCGGCATCAGCCTCTTCCGCTGGCGAAGGGTCTGATGTGTCCGTGCAGGGTGCGGCACTAGATATAGGCATTGCCTCCTCTTTTGGGGAAGCGAGTTCACATTTCTCCTCTGAGTCAGCTGTGAATGTGGATTTACTAGAAACGGCGACCGCAGCAGCAGAAGAAACAACTGCGACGGGAGCGGCCGGGGGTGGCGATGGAGCAAGAGGAAGTTCTGGTGGGGTTTCCACTGAGGTGGCCTCGGTCGTCTGGCCAGCTTGATCTTTTTTCTCCCCAGTAGGTTCTGGTCTGAGGACTGGAGAAGGAGGTTTTAATACTGGATCTGGTTTTGGCTTCTCTTCTGGGAAAGGAGGGAAAAAAGAAAAGGCAATGTTACAACAGCAAGTCAACTCCATTTTCCTTGGCTGTATCTAAGCCTCCTCGGTTCCCCTTGCCTGCATTCTGCCCACTGTTCAAGAAGCTCCGAGGAAGACCCCAGAGGCACCTGAAGCCAGTTTTGCAGCTACAGGAAAAGTCCAGACAGCCTGCAGCCGGCAGATCGGAAAATGCAACCACTGCTTCTATTTTTCTGAACGTAGGCTTTGCATCTTCCACAGAAAAGGCACGTTACAAAATGTGAATTTTTTGCAGAAACTGCTGCTGAAAATAGAATTTCTTTTTACAGAAATTACAGAAGAAAAAACCACGCTCTACTGGGATTCTGCCTCAAAGGAGCCTGGGGTTTTAACACCGAGACCTGGGCAAACTCCCGTTCCAAAACGCAGGCAGACAGAACTGGTGAGAGCACCGGCAACTCTGCGACTGTTCCCCCTCTTTGCAGAACAGCGAAACTACTCCACGACTGATGCCAGGCCGGTCTTTTATGGATGCCATGTGACATGCCATTACCAACACGTGAGAAGCACCTACTTCATTTTTCCCCTTGTTATTTCTCACCTCCATCGCCCATCAGCACACCTGACTAAAGGTCACAATCCCCTTATTTTTCTCCTAAATTTTAGCAAAGATACCTTTTCCCAAAGAAAGCGAAACAAAAAGGGATTTAAGCCCAGCTGCCACCACAGAACAGCATCGTCACCTCTTGATGTTAGTAGGCTAAGGGTACCAAGCAGGGTAGGAAACACACGGCGCAATACACCCATGTATCCAAGCAAACCCCAAAATACCGTGCAGAGAGAAGTCCCTGTACCTATCCTAGAATAGCAACAGGCTTTGTGACACCATCCCCGCCACGACCGTCACGCAGCTCCCACAGGTCTGCTGCAACCCCAAATAACGCACTTATTCCCACTTCTTTTGAACAAAGTACAAGCCAAGATCCTCTTGGCTCTACAGGATCTCTCACCTCTGCTACACCCTCTCCCACCTCCAATTTGACAACAAGGCACAGGCTGTAAGATCTTGCTTAGGGAAGCCTCTCCATGCTACAACTCCGCGAGGCGGAGGAGACAGGTATCACACAAAGTCAGTGTACGGGTGGCAGGGACTCAGCGGTCCCGTTCCTCATCGCCAGTACAACGAGGTCAGCTTTATCTGTCCCTGGGGAGGAGCTCTGCTCTGCTCCATCAACACAAAACGCCCCGAGGCTTTCTGAGGAGTGAAGCAACAGGTAACTTCTTCGGGACCCTGCCACGACACCAAAAGTTCTGGAAAAGCCAGAGGCACAAACCCTGCTGTTCAGATTAGGAAATCAAAGGCTAGAACCAACCCCAAGTCACCAAAATTCAGGTAGAAATGAAGAAGTATGTCTTGGCTTGGTCTTTCCCAGCTCTGCTGGCTCTCCATTTGGGGCTTATTCAGCAGCTGGGCTGAAGGGAAAGGGTTTTTGAAGGAGAACCCATCTGAAACCGCTTGGAGCATCAAGTCCCTTCTTTAGGAAGAGCTGGAGCAACGAAGAACTTTGCTTCCAGCCACTGACAGCCCTAGCAGCGTTACAGTGAGGACCATGGCCAAAGCAGTAGTTTATCAACTTAATGAGGCACGTTGGGAGATGGCTTTGGATGAGGATGACAAATGGAAAAAAAAAAAAAAAAAAAAAAGATGGGAGAAAGTATCCCAACAGCTGATTTTGATTCTGAAGGCTCTGTGGAAGAAAAAGGATCCCAGAACTGGTTTAGAAAAGAAAATGCGTCACCTCCCAATTTCTGGAACATCCTTTGCAGACAACTCATGGAGCATTCTTGACATTTACAGCTCCCTATAAACAACTGCCTGGATATTCTCTGCCTTGAGACAAATGAGATTGCTCAAAAAAAAAAAAAAAAAAAAAAGCATTTGAAGTGTCTAGAAAAACATTCCGAGAGATAAAAACACACCGCAAAAATATACAACCGTGTTTTAAACCCAGTGGTTTAAACACACTTTCTTCAACTACACCTTATTTGGCCAATACATCAGCCAGTGATACAGGCCATGTGTGCAAAATTCAAGGAGAAAAGTAATTTGAGGAGGGGGAATTTCAGAAGAACGATGAGCAGGTTTGGCTAATGAGAAGGAAATCTTAACTTGAACGACCATCACGGAGAACAAATCTCAACGTCTTGGCAAAGGAACGTTCACCCCTGCCAGCTATTACAGAAAGAGTCACGTGCGACAACATACAGTTGGGAAGGGAAAACAAAAATCAATGCAATTCATCCAAACTGAATCAGATCCCTTTTCCTAAATATGCCAAGATCATTCCTCACATTATATTTAGAAAGTATTTACTGGAAGCGCTAGGCTGTTCAGGAGGAAAGCTTGCTCCATCCATAGATATTTTTTAAATCTCCAGATCAATACAAATCTTGCAAAATTATCCTTCATTAGAAACACTTGCACAAACTCAGCAGGACAGACGCTTGCTATCTCCTCCATGCAAGGATATTAAAGCCACAGAGGGAGCTGCGTTGCTGGGTGGTCGTGGTGGCAAAGATGGCCCAGAGCAGTGGATGGGGAAGATTTTACTGGGTACGGGAATTTGTTTCTGCTTCGCGGTGTTTATCTGAAAATAATCACTGGGCTTGCTGCCATTTTTCCATCTTTTGTCCCGATGCAAACACTGGCGAGTACAGACGCTGGCCTCGCAGGCAGTTTTTGGAGCACACGTTACTGAGTCATCGTGGCAGCAGAGGGGCTGAAAGTTTTCCAGACTTTGGGATCTGACATAAATCTATTTTCCACAGACCTCCAGTTATACATCCTCCATGTCTGATACATTGCAGAGGTTTAAAAAACCATCATAACAATACTCCGAACATCCCACTGAACCTGCGGGAGCTGAGCAAATGTGGGCAGCTCTGATTCCATGCCGTTAGACCCCATCACAGCTCCTGCACCAGCCTGGCCTGCAGCCAGCTTCCCACTCGCTCTGCCACCAGCTTGACCTGGATTCTCCAGCAATATCCTTGCCTTCTGCAGCCCGGCTGAGGGGTCTGCACCAGGGGCACCTATGGGAATGACAGCTAACTGCTAGCCCCCAAATAATGTGACTTTTCAAGGGAATCTCGTAGCAATTCCTGTACCTCCCTATCACGTATGAACTTTGAAGCCTGAAAAGCCACAAGCTCCTTTAAAAGCAGCAAACGCCCAACGCTCGTCTTTTAACGTAAAACCCAAGGATATTAAATGCAACGCAACTGCAGATTCAGCCTCGCTAACGACTTCAACGCAGAACTGACAGGGACTGCGGATACTCACGGTGAGAAAGCACAGAGGCCGGGTCTGCCGGCACAGCACCCGTGCTCCGCTCCCCATCCCCGACCCAGCGGACGGGCCAAATGCCGCGCGCGGGTATAAATAACCGCGAAGCGATCCCTGTGCGTCACAAAACTAAACCGATAGCTTTACCCCAAATTTCAACGGATGCGAACGAGCGCACGAGGTGAAGGGCACAAGGGAGAATCCGATTCATGGGATGAACAGGGTGGAGGGGTCTTAAGGGAAGCACTAACACTGGTTTTAACAAACACGTGCTTAAAAAAGCCAAGCGACCCTATCTGTGGCTATTTTTATTTTGGAACAAAAACCACATCATCAGGCGCAAAGATTTTGCTCCCTTGGCACGTATTTCTGGAAAGATGTGCCCCCCCCAATCACTAGCTCAGTTTAAACAAATAATTTTCATGGTGTCTAAACTTCCTTCACCTTTAACTGTCCTGTGACTGACACCACCCCTGCTCTCCCCCGCCCCGAGGCCACAGTCGAACGCTAATGGTGTTATTTCAGGGCTTGCTCTTCCCCTGCAATGCTTACATAAATGTGCTCTTTAGCAATTTTTGGACTGGAACAAATGTTTGAATCTTTCTGGGATGGAACAGAGATAAACACAGGAAAGCTCATCAGTGTTAAATCCCAGTTCAAGCCCTGATTTATATTTAAACCAGCACAGTCAGACCCGTGTAACTAACGAAATAAAGACCAGTTACTTCTAGTTTACTTACAGTTGCCTATGAAGGGATTAAGTTAAAGAGAGAGAGAAGTGGGAGAAGACCCGCTTGTCCTGGAAATACCAGTTTTCACACCCAGGGTTGAAATGCTGCGATGTAAAGTGCTGGATTTTACAGTTCAACACCAACTTGCTTGGAAGGGCAGACGCACTTTGGTGCCTGCATGGCAGTCAGCGGTTGGTCAAGTCCCAGTGCCACCACACGCCTTGGCGTGCTCAGAGATGTCCCCAACAGCGTGCGGGACCTCAATGGAGGGGCGACACGGACATGGACCGGGCTGTGCCGGAGCTGAGCGGCAGCGAGCCGCGTGCAGCCAGCACCATCGGTCCGTTTGATACCCGTTAAACCTACCCACAGCTTTTCCAGGTGACAGAGACAGCCACCTTCTGGACAAAGATCTAGACAAAGCCATAGTCCCGCTTCAAGTGGGAGATGGGACCAGACGATCGCCCAAAGTCCCTTTTCAACCATTTCTAGACACTGCAGCAATTGAGAGATGCATCCGTGGAACAGTCTGCAGTGAGGGAAAGCCCTGAAATCTACACCATGGCTGTAAGAGAGCAACACCTTCAGTAAATTCTAGATTCTGATAAAATCACCTGCAGGGATTCTTCCCTCTACTTCCAAATCAGCAACCGTGCTGCTGTTTGGATCTACGACGTCTGCGGCATCGGAGCCACCCGTTTTCCCCTCTTTTCTAGAGCTGTGCTTCTCTGGGGCTTAGTGTTCCTCTAGGAAATACTCCGAAGAAAAACCTTGGCAGGCTCAAGTTTACAGGATACGCTCAAGAGCGGAAGGTGGCACTTCTTGACTTCGGTGTTCACGTCGCTCTCGGCAGCGACCTCAAACGCTGCAGCGCGGCGAAGAGCCGGGAAGCAAAGAGCGGCGCCCACTCAAGTCCGTTAACGTGACGGCAGCACACACATCATTAACTACAGCTTCTTAATGGCTTTTAGGTGGCTATAAAATATCAGTGTGAGAAGAGATCTGGCATGCTGCATTTTCCCTCCTGGGACACCTTTTCTTTGAAAAGGTGTTTTTAAAAAAAAAAATTGTCCCTTCAAATGTATATTCTTAGAGATGAGAAGGAACCGTAATCGCTTTAAGAAACTTTTTCCATCTGTGCCACTTCTACTAAAGTCAGCAAAATTTGCTACGCCATTTATGAGACGGATTGCAGGCAAACGTGGGTTTTTTCCTAATTAATATTGCCCGTGTCCTGTAGGACAGGCTACACGAGCAGCTCTAGAGGAGCCATATGATACTCTGGTTACGTGCCATCACTATGGTTCATCATCCAAATGACATAAAGCCTCTGTGGCTGAGAGTGTTTTACGGACAACACACTTGTTTCTGAAGGATAGCACGTGGGTGGGAGGAGGGTCACGCTTCTCGGTGCTCTGAAACAACGTTTAGGACATATAAGCTTGACTACAATTATTTTTAAGCAGTTTCACGTTGGCAAATTTCAATGAATTCCCTTAGCAACACATTGTTAAAATGTTCCACTGGAGGAAAAGTCCCTCCCCTCCTATTTCTGCTGACTGCTTGTCTCCATGCCAAAAATATTCAAACTAAAACAAGAAAGGAGGGGGGAAAAAATGACTAAAAATAATCAGGAAGGAAATATCCATCAACAAACCTTGCTTCGGGTTGCTGGTCGCAGTGACAGGGGTGCTGGCAGCGAGATGGGTGTTCTCCACAGTCCCATAAACCACAGGGCTGTGCTCGGGGACCTGGCTGGACAGCTGCTGGGATTTGAAGTACAAAAAAGGGTGATAATGAGCGTGCGAACATAAAAACTAGCAACATGGAGCACAAGCAAGCGAGTGGGGAGAGGAGAATAGGGTGGGATAGAAAAGAAAAACCAAAGGCAGGGAAAACAAAGAGAGAAGACAGACCGATCGAATAAATTCAAAAAGTACATGGGAAAGGGAGGGAGGAAAAGGCAGCAGGAAAAGGGGAAAAAAAGAGACGATTATTGTTAACAGCAGCAAGAAAGAGACAGCAGGGCAGTTATTAACACACTCCGTTCGCCGAATGCTTCTTCCAAGAGCAGCAGAAATGCTTCTCCGTGCAGTCTGCAACAAGTCAGATCAACCCCAAAGGACTCCCGGACCTCTCTGCAATTTAAGTTTGCTTGCTGGGCTTGACTCCCTTCTCAGCCCACCAGTTACTTCAAACACCTTTCGTATTTCTATGTATGTTTATTTATCATAGAAGCCTTGAATGGTTTGGGTTGGAATTGACCTTAAAGGTCATCTTGTTCCAACCCCCCTGCCATGGGCATCGACACCTTCCACTACAGCGGGTTGCTCCAAGCCCCATCCAACCTGGCCTCTCGTTTTTAATATATTTATTTACATATAGATAAGGTGTGTGCATGTATGTATGAATAGTGTATACATGTATCTACACGGATCATAATACAGAGACATATTTTTCTGTGTGTACACCTATCTTACGTATATTGGATATATTTCTCATGAAAATACTTGTTGTCACAGTGGGAAAATAATCTAGATTGGTTATACCCGTGTGGTTGTATGAAAAAAAACCACCCAATGCCTTCTACAAACAGACTCACGGATGGTACCTGCTGGGTAATGCAAGAATAAACCCAATTTTCCATTGGTCTAAAGAAGATCAGGAGAAGCTGGTTCCCAATCAGTGAGCTTGAGACTTTCCATATTTAAAAACAAAAACTGCAAGACCAGAAAGTCACAAGACTGAAAAAGCCACAGCCTGTTGCAGACACCACATCTTTTAATTACGCCCCCATGGTTAACGGGACAAACACTTCACTTGTGTTCATGAAGGTTTGATAAAGACAGAAAAAATCCGCTGTATTTTATCGCAGAGTTTAAAGAAGACCTTGTGTAAGACTAAGTAACGACACCAAACTCGCTCAGACTTATGGGTAAAGCACTTTAAGTGCACGTTAAGATGAACATAGATGGGGCAAGACAACTATTCACTTCTGCAAAGTCCCCTTAAAACACGTATCAGGGACCAGAAAACGGGGCTAAATTTAAATTTAATACTCTAAAGCAGAAAGTCACGCAGCTCTTTGCAGGTGGCTCTTCTCACCTAGCTATACCCCCGCGCTGACTTCTTGGAAGATCTACAGGAAAAGGGATTTTTAAACTACCAAAATAAAGCAAGAGTGCCCAAGACACAGGTGCCTAACTCCTCCTTTCGGACAGGCTATCAGAAATCCATGCAAAACTTATCTCCCTGAAAAAAAGAAATTCTCTGGCAACCTGCTCCTCTTCCTGGACTCTCTTTTTCTCCCATTTCCAGCTTTTACAGCTGAACAGTGCAGAATAAAGAGTGAATTATCTTCAATACACTATTTTTCACCACTTCAAGTAGCAGAAAGGGAAAGGAGGACTGTGAAAAAGCACATCTGGAAAAATAAAAATAAAAATCTAAATAAGCGGGGTGAAGGTTTAAAGTTGTATTTGGGATTGCTCCTCTTCCAGGAACGAGCCCGATGAGATCGGCTGGACTACAGATGAAGAATTGCATCCCTACCTCCAGCCAAAGCTGAAGGAAGCCAAAGAAAACACAGTTTTACCAATGAGCAGGTTTCAAGAACGCTTTCCTCGCCCTCTACGGATCATTAGTTTCGTTTTATGAAAAATTTATGGACGAAAGTGGGGGGGCGGGGGGGGCGCAGCCGGAAGCAGAATGTGATAAGAATCACAGGAACCGAAGGAGACTGGCAGACAAGAAACCTCTAAGCCTAGAAACTCCTTGGGCCAGTAAACACGTTTTCTTAAGAAATTTGGAAAACATTCATTTAATTTGTGGGAACAATACCAGAAAGCAATAGAAATGGTACTTGAGTACTGACCCTTACAGGCTGGCAGCTTCAAAATGGAGCATTTAGAGACTTTCTAGGAAAGAAACCCACTCCAAACTGCTCTCGTGACTTCTGACGCTAAAAGAGTTGCTCTGTGTTACTCTCTCCTGCCACGGCCCTTGGACTGAGCAAACACAAAGTGTGACAGACTCACTGATGCTTGGAAGAGGTTTCCCAGGAAAAGAAGAGCATTTCTTACATAGAAAATCACCTTTTAAAGCATAAGTTGGTGCTGAGTAAATACCGTAGCCAGATTTGATACGTGGTCCTGGGTTTTATTTATCTTCTCAGCAAAAAATACAGTGTGAAAAATAACGTCCTGCTAGAAATACGTAAATAATATCTCCAGTTACTGCCAGCTTCTCTTGCAGGAACTCTAAAGCATTTTAGCAATTAAGCAGCCACTGGGGAGGTGCTGGGAAGGCTCCACCTAAAGCACTTTTTGGTCAGCGACGCCGACTACACAGCAGGAGATACAAAAAGCATGGAAATGGCTCAAACCACACGTCTCGTCTTGGCGGCAATGCTCATCTTTTGGACAATTCCAGTATTTTTTTTGACATTAAGCACTTCATCTACTGAGAGGAGAGGGTGTTTTCTGTTATCAAAGTTTTGGGTTTTCTTTGAGTCAGTTAAAAAAATAATCCAAACTTTTTAGATTTAAAAAGAAAAAAAAACCAATGAAAAATTTGAAAGAAAATTTATAGAAGGGCTTCTTTTTCAAATGTAGGATTTGGGACAGGGACTGGTCCACAGCAGCAGCTTCCACGCACTTCTTGAGCAAATTTCTCCCTCTGTGCTTGTGTCATTCAAATAATGAGATTACAGAATCAGATCCTGGCTGTCAACAGCAAAGAAGCGTTACTAGAATTTAACAGACTTCTAAAATATCATTGGCCTGGGACTCACTCTGATTAGATTTCCGTCGGCAGGTATTTTCATATGAAGCTCACGCTGCCTGTCCGCACCTTTTGTCCGCTGGGGAAAGGGAATACAAAAAGCCCGAGCAGGTTCCAAGCAAAGGTATGGATGAGTCTTTAAAATTCACTGATTTCAGACTGTTCAACTTGTAACATCCCTGTTATCGGCCTTCAGCCACTGAGCACAGGTATTAAGGCACTAACCAATTTCATCCAAGATACTACACTTGCTCCAAAGAAATGAATTGGAGATGCTGTTGGGAAAGTAACTTTGAATTTCGTGGCTTAAGTGGGCTTAAATTTTCAGTGATGTTACACTAATGAACTTTTTCTGGTGAGCGCTATTGCAGAGCTCTTCTGTGATTAACAAAAGTGGTTCCAAGTACCTAATCAAAACGAAGCCTGGATATTAAACAACGGAGCATTTGCATACCTTGCTTAGAGTCGATGATTGGACATCACTGCTGTGCTCTGCATATAAATTACCGCTGATAAAAATCCCTGCTTATTAACCTCCTCTTGAAAAACGTTTATTTCGTCCCGTTCGACTTAATTGTAGCATCTTAAAATAGATTTCAGAATGCAAAAACGAGCCAGTAAGTGCCTGGATTAGCTGCACCACACACAAACACAACCTGGCTGCCTTCAACCCTTCCACACGTCTAATGGGGCAAGTCCTTCACTCAGCATGAAATAATGGGAAGATCTCACCAGCATGCCAACGTTTGACATCGCTAGCACCTTCTCCTACGGAAAATGCTGGGAAAGAAGTTTAATTGATTCTATACGTAACCAGCTCTCGGCTCTCTCCCCTTCCAGCTGTACTTGCAAATCATCAGGCCGCTCTCTGGCAGAAAACCAGCTTTTTCCGGCCCAGCATTGCAGGCCTTGTTGCAAAACCACAGCTAGACAGGAACGGCTCGAGCATGGTGCCTTGCTGCTGCCTGCCCAGGATGGAGATCAGGAGGAGAGAGCAGGTGACCCAAAGCACATGGTGATGCCTTCATACAACAACAGGGTTCGACTGAACCCGAGCAACGGCCAAAAGCCGTAACCGTCCTGTTGGTCTCAACGGAGGGGAGATCTGCAGGCCAGGCTCTTACTTCATCTCAGTGATCCCAGTCACACTTTTACTCGCTCAGCTGTAACCTCAAGCTCCCACTCCAGTGCATCCCAAGGCAAGCTTGTGCTGTCGCCTCAGCACAGGACAGTCAGCAGAAAAACTACCCCGATGCAGCAGGGAAAGTAAAGGTTTCGGCTCAGAAAACGCTGTTTCAGCTAAAAGCTAGCAAAACCCGGTGACATTAAACAGGGAAGAACTCAAAAGAAGTTGCACCCCAGCCTCAGCCAGGCTCCTCTAGAGCCCACCCATCACTGGGAGAACCTTCACGTTGTCCGATCAGGCCCCCAGGCAGTGGACAACCTCCAATAAAACACGGCCAACTTCCAAGGCTTGTCCAAACCATAGAGTTTCTTCTCCAATTGTTCAAAAACTTGTAAGTTTAGCAGACTGTGGCTTAGCACCATCTCCCCAAAAAGAGAGGGAGAACTAAGACGATGCACGAAGCGAACAGCAGCTACACCAAACTGGCAGCCGGAAAGAGGACCGCAGCTGCCACGCGCCCGCGCCTCCTCTCCATCTCTGATGCTACGGGGAGATCAAGGAGGCGTTGCCTCTTCCTGCTGCAGGTGGGGAAGGGCGGTCAGAGGACAGAAATCAGTTTCTAACTGGATTATGCAGCCGCGTCCAGCCCCCGCGGTTCATGTCATGGGGGACTTACGTTCAGGTCAGGACTGCTGGTCTGCCAGTCTGAGCGCGCTCTTTTGGCCCTGGGTCAAAAAGGACTAGAACAGACCAGGATTTCCAAACAGTTTAATTTCCATACATTACACGTGGACTTCTCAGGTGAAGGAGGGTACAGAGACTTAGAAGGGGTCAAACTCAAAGGTGTGTGACAAGAAGAGATTTATGAGCTATGGAAAATGTCAGTTTGGGATATTTATGCTTTTTCCTACATCAGAAAAAACACATTTTTAAGGCTGAACACACAGAGACTAAATCTGTGATAGATTTACCACAGTTTTGCGATAAAATTCCTGAGCTACAGCCATTCTGGGTACTCTAGAGCACCGCTACTAAGGCAGAAAGACTTTAGTACAGACAGTGACATAACTAAAGATACATAATCAACCCCATGCATGATATGGACTTTCCTCAGGTACACAAGACACTAACAGAAACACCACGTTTCTCACAAACATATTGGCTCCTCCTTTAACACTGAAAGGCTTTACGAGCTCTAAAATCTACTGCCGATACAAAACCAGGGATGGGGAACTCGTGGCAGCACTGCAGCTCCATATTTTACAAGCTACAGGCTGGTAAAAATGACTTGGAGGGGAAAAAAATAATCTTTGAAGAACATTGACAATTTAGGACCATCCAGGTGTCTGAGGTGATCGGTGGTGTGGGTGGAGGATACAGGAACTGGCTCTAACAAACAGCAAAGCCAAGCAGACATCACTGGGAGAAGGCTACGCGGCCACTTTATTACCTGAGGTGGAGTAGGTGTGGAAGTGGGTCTCACGATGGGAGGCGTTGGGTTCCTGCTGCCCCCTCCAGACATTATTTCTTCTGTTATATCTTTGCCTCCCTGGTTTGGATCCCGGATTCGGATCTACGATACGGAACAAAGAAATAATTCAAACAAGTCTTCCTGTTACACGCTTTCCTTGGGCTTTAAGGAGAGGAAAGCAGGGATAGGACATAATTCCATTACACTCGGGAGGAGATGCTCTGGGTTGAACTGATGCTCTGCAGAGGCGCTGGAATGTGGTTTGTTTCGATAACTTGAAATGCGTGGTATGTCATCCCTTAATCTTGAAACCTAATTTAATCAAAACACTCATCAACCACACCAGTTAGGTCTAAACACTTGCACCCCAGTGCATGACCCTGTAACTCAGAACGCAGTCTCTACTTCTGGAAAATAACTGCAACTTAGAAAATTTAGCAGACAGTTCAGCCACAGAACTAAGCCTGCCAGTTAGTGGAAAGGGCAAGAATGAAAAAAAGGCCATGTTTTACCCAGACAGGGAGTTCGGTCACCTTACCCAGCTGCTGGTAACGGGGGAAAGCAATTCAGCTCTTTTTTGGTTTTCCCTTCCACGCCGAGAAAAGTCGTACCAACCACACAGAGGGAATGAAACAAAAAATACTGAGTGGAGAAAAGGGAAACTGCAAGAAGAACAAACTAAAGTCCTGTGAAACTCAGCAGCATTTAGGAAACAAGGATGGTTTTTTTGAGTCTCTTCACAGCCGCAAAATGGGAAGGAAAAATGTTTTCCAAAATAAAACACTCGAGAACACACTCATTTGGATCCTCAACTGACAGTTGAGCCAATCTGCCTCACTGAATACGTGGAACGGTCAAGCTGTCTGGGTTAATTTGAAATAGAGTTTTTAATCCTCAACATAAGAATCGAAGATTTTCATAAACCTGAAGACAGCGCTATCATTTGTCCACCCTCTCAAAAGCTCCTGGTTGAACTCTCTGTAAGTTGCACACAGAAGTCCCCGCTGTGCTGAGCACAAACCAAGAGGCAATCCGTCCAAGGGCAGGGGTCTCACTGGAAACTGCCCTGCTTTTGTCCATCAGCAACATATAAAGTTGTTAGCCGCAGAAAGGTTTTGTGATTTATCAACCTCAGTATCACGTGTCTTCTTGACTCTTTGGGTCAGGAAGACAAGTAAATATACAGACGGTACTCGGGATGTTAACAAGATGTGGTCTTCTCTCATTTTTGATGGAATTTTTCTGGTAAAACATTTAATTAACCACAGCAACAAGGACTTAAGAGCTGGCATGAATTCCTACCCCCTCCTCCTCCTGACAAGTAGTCAGTGGCATTAAAACAAGCTTTCCCTGCCTGAAAGCTTGTAGTACTCGAATACTCAACACCAATACCGGTGCATGCGGGTGTGTGTACACATGGTCGCTTCTTCTGTAATTTCCCTCATTTCTTCAGCTGCACCACAGATTAGCAATCTGAAACAGCACATCCAGAGAAATGCACCCCAGGCATTCAAAAAACCTTTTGCTTTTCCGCTTCAGAGAACTGAGCTTCGTTGGCACGGAACTGTCTTAACCACAGTTGAGCGTTGCTGAACATCTTTGCATTTCAAATGGCATCAATGATGTGGCCGTGTCATGTTTTGGATGCTGAATAAGAGACTCCTCAGGACTGAAGAGGATGGTGAAGAGGTGACAAAAGAGTTGCATCACCCTTTGCTGACAGCAGCTACAAAAAAGGCCTTTCTTGCAAGCCCAGCTAACACATTGTTCAGCTCTTCCGGTTTCTCAAATCAAGTGTCGTCTCAGATCATCTTCAAAAATCAAAAGATACAAATACTCTGCATTTTGAAACACGTACAAGTCCCATGTTTTTTTTTTTTTTCCCAGGAAAAAGTTCTTTTCATGTTTTCACACCACTCTAACATGCATAGTGATGTAAAGTAACTTCTTTTTCAGTCATTTAGAAATGATTCCTTCAGAAGTTCAAGCCCACCCCTAACTTTTTCTCTTTAAACGTTGCATTCACCTGGTGTGCCTTTACTATTCCCTACCACCATCCATCCAGTTTAAATTCCATTAATCCACGTCTCTCAAATTCTCACTGGTGAATTAGGAAGGAGGAGTGTGATCTTCAAACCTCTACCCACTTTCACAATGTCGTGTGTTCAGGTTCTTTCAAACCTGCAAGTAAGTCCACAACTTACTGGTTTTCTACCTTTTCTGAGGCGTAATACTGAACTATTTCTTTTTTTTGTCAACTGGAACCAACTCCCAACGTTCTCCCAAACTGATCCGAGCTTGCTCATTCCCACCCAGCTCTTCAGTAAAACTCTAAGCAGCAGCGCAGGCAGCTGAGGATCCCAGGCTTGGGGAGACAATGCTGCTTTCACTTATGTTCGTTGCAAAACCAGCAAAAATATTTTCCATTTTGACTGGCTGAGATGTCACAAACTCGGAGCAGAAAGTCCCCATAGAACATTGACAATAAGACAACGATTGCAGCATTGTGCAGTGTTTAATTACACTTAGGTGTGAAAGGTGAGACTTCGCCTCTCTGTGAAGATAAAGCTCAGTTTTAAGCTTGAGACCATTCTTAATTCCTTCAACCTTAGAACAGGGCAATTCTCAGAAGGGATGTATCAGTTAATGGTGATCACTTACTGTTTTTTTCTCTCTTTTAGCTGGTGGAGGCTGCTGCTGCTGTGTAGGCACTATGATGGGTGCTGACTGATACACTGGCTGACTTGGGTAGAAAGGTGTTCCTGGGAAAGGACAACAAGACAGAGTGAAAAACTCAGTTCATTTGTTAATGAAACAAAACCAGGCACAAGAGGTAAAACCGGCCACCTACTCCCCGCTCCCTTCAAAACCCAGAACTCCAAACATCCAACTGGCAACCGGTTTGTCTTTTGCTCTTCCCCACTTCCACGAAAAGAGAAGCTGCGACTCCCTAAAGGCAAACCATTAAGCCACTACTTCGTTTTTTCCCTCCACGAACAGAAAAACTGGTCACGGGCATCCATTTCAGAGAGGCTGCTGAAATCACCGAGGCATGAAAAGAAAAGCGGCCCAGCCTTGGACTCCCCTGACTGACAAACAGGTGGGTTTGTTGTTGGATTATTTATTTTTTCTTTGCCTTTGTAGAGAAATTCAGTCAAACCATTACAAAGCATTTGCAAGGTCAACCGCAACCTATTTTGAAGCACAGCCAGAAAATTTAATTACGAGCAACGTTCTTCTCATGCTACAACACAAAAAAAGCAGGACCACGGTTATTATTGCAAAATTACACCGTGCTCTTGATTACATTCATAATATCCAATATAGTTTCATTATGTTTTTCTTTATGAAACAAGACAGGCTCAAAACAACTGAGTGCTTTAAAAACATGCCAGACATAAATAAAGGTGGCAGAGCAGAGCTGTCTTCTGTCTCTGGATCAGCGATCAGGTGAACTTGTAAGATGGTGCTGGGTTTCTTCCCTTCCAGGCACAGGTGCTCGATGGACAGCCTGCTTGCCTTGCCTCTGGAGCAATCTGATTTATTCTTCAGCTGAACTAACCTTTAAACGGGAATGAAAATCCGTACTGTGTGTCTGTAACCAAAAGGGGAGGTTATTACTATCTCAAGCAAACAGTAAAACCTAAGAAAGTAAACGAAGCCAGCCCAGCCCAATCTGATCTACAACTTCAAAGGATTCCTCGAACTGAGAGCTGGAAAGCAAAAGCTCGGAGCGGGCTCCCCGTCTGCGCGCTCGGAACGAGAACTTTTCTCTGCCGAAATGGCTGCAGGTAGCTGAAAGTGGAGAGCGTGGCACGGCACCGGCATCAAGCTCCTGAAAGCTCAGCTGGCTGGATTCACTCTCGGATGCTGCAATTAAGGTGGCCTAAATGACTCAATAAACTTCTCATTTTGAACTTCACGGGAGGCAGCGTGACTTCAGATCTGGCCTCGGGGCACAAAAGTCTCCGTCAGCGTCCTCACAGCTTGGGAAGCGAGAATCCTCCTGCCTCTCTCCTTAAACACAGTGACGAAGCCTCAAACTCTTCCGACTAATGCTTTGGCCAAGCTGGCCAAGTGTACCACAGGAGTTTGGAGAACGTGAGAGGATAGGAGCAAGCCTGGGAGCCCTGCAACGTGTTAATTATCTTGATTTCTAGTTTCCTAGAAACCAGATCTAATCAGATAGCCTGTAAGGTGATGCCTGCCAGAGAGCCAGCTGCAGGTAACTCAAGGAAGGACTCTTCCTTTATGCAAAGTACTTTAAAAAAAGCAAATCCTGAAAAGCAAGAGTAAGTTTTGGGAAGAAATACAGCTTCTGTGCAACAAGCCAAGTGCATTTCTCAGCTCTGCACCCTGCCTTTTGACTCTTTCCAGTTCAGTGGCACTCAAGTTTTATTCTCCCTCCTCTCCATCCATCATTTCAAGGTCTTTCCCAGCGTCGCACGGAAACTCGCTGATATAAAAGAAAATGATAAATTGCAAAACAGAGACAGTTAAAAGAAAAATGCACTGTCCATCTTCACAAGTTTTGTCTTCTGCAGCGTTTTCCCTTATCACCTTCTTCACAGCCCGCCCAGTGGCGATGATTTTGATGTCTAGTGGCCACGCTGGCTACAAAGTCCCAAGGTTTATGGGAAAGGCCACTGCCATCAGCATTACCCACGTCTGTATCGTAAATTTAGCTGTCCCCAACGCCATGAGCAGTGCCTGGCGAGAGACTGAACATTTCCAGTCCCTATATAAACAGCAAGGAAGCAACAGGAGGGGAAGGTGGGCGACTACAGGCAAACTCACAATCACCCTCCTCCTTGGCTAAACCTGCTCTGCCTGGAAAACGCTCTGCGTGACGGAGGGCTCCAGCTTTGCCTGCTGACGCTCCGCAGACACAGCCACCTAAAAACAAGCTGGGACTGAAAGATTACAAGCCTCTGTGCAAGAAACCAGGCGCTTTCAGGAGTGGAAAGGAACTGGAAGCAAACCTTTTCCAAATTACAGAAGCAAGACAGACAAACGGCACTGAGTGAGCAGAAAGTAAGAAAGCAGACCTGTAATGGCAGAAAAAATGTGGAATACTGGGTAATTTCCTCATTTGGTGGATCAGACTGGAAGGCAATCATTCACTTTGAACGCTCCGAAATATCAACAGGTAAAGCCGCAGGGAAAGTTCACAGTATCTCTGCCCCCAACAGCTTCCAGCATCCGCTGGGCAGGTGGCAATCCGACTGAACGGAACACCTCAAATTTGATATCGAGAGGCAAAAACCCTTTAACCCCCCCCCCCCATACAACAGGGCGATGACTGGTATCATCCTGGTGGATTTTGTTTGAATATTCCCATAAATGAGCAAAGGAAGGTAAATAAATAAATAATTTAAAAGAAGTGACAGACACGGCTGCAAGATACCTAATTCGGCATCTCACTCGTACACACCTTGCAGGAGCTGATATGTTTTAACTATCAAAATAGAGACCCCCAGAAAACCTTTGAGGGGCCTGTGATGCAAGTATGATATATATTGTACATGGCAACCCACTGGAAATTATTAAGAAAGGACTTAATTACTTTTTTTGTAAAAGATGACAGCCAAGAGAAGAGGCGTCATGGGGCAGCGAAGGACAGTCACCCACTGCTACATGGGGTCTGCAAACTGGGACCCAAACGAGAGGCAGTTGTGACTCCTGGAGGAGTCAAGGACCAGTGAGATGCGGGCAGGAGGGATGACAGCACTGGACATGCAGCATCTGAATTTTTAGGTGCAGCTTTGAAGCTCAGGACCTGGGGAAGTCAATCACATCTACTGAATATACTGTGCCAAACCATCCCAGCACACGCAACCACGCTGGGCAATCTCCCAACCCTTGTGCTTGAGAAAAGGCAAGACCAGGAGCTGCCCATGAAAAGGGCAAATTTCAGCCTGTGCAGGGGCTGCAAACTCTTCGACTGGACTATCCCGATCTCTGCAGCATAAGAGCGGCGAATCAAACCCCATGGCTTGTTCTTTTCCCTCGCTAAACGCCGAACAAGGAGCGCAGGGATAAGAAATGTTAGCTGCTGGATTGCTGTGAACATATTCCGGGCATAGCTCAATGGAAACCAGGGCTGCCAGATGTATTCACAATACCTTAATAAATAATAATGATTGAGTGGGGAATAACAAATAGCCACCATTCTTGTTCACATGTGATCACGGGTAGCTCTGCGAGTCGCAGCCTTTCCTTAAGCGCTCATACAAACAATACTCTGTTATTGTGAATTTTTCAAGGGTGAATAATAAGGGCTGTGACACAACCAAATCGAGCAGCTATTTGAAGTTCAAACAAATGCTAATCCATTTTGCTGTTATAAATCTTCAGCTTGACAACAGAAAAACACACCCAGAAAATACTTTCTACAAAATCCCCAGGCAGAACTTACCGTAGGCATTGGGGAATTCTCCAGGACCTGGTCCTGGATAAAAGGGTCCTGGTCCTGGCGGCTGAACAGGATACTGCTGGGGGGGCCCGACATATGGAGGGCCACTGTGACGATACTAGGAGGGAAAAAAAATAACCATCCGTTTACAGGGAGCTGGGCAGCTTCATGCTGTTGCACACAGATCCTGTAATTGAGCCCCCCAAATCAACAGGGATCTAATTATCAAACCAATTAATTACAGACGTCAGAAACAATAACAGAGGTAAAGCTATGTCATCTAAAGACAAGACAGGGAGGACATGAGAGCTGGAGAGAAAAATCACTCCCCTGATTTCAGCAATATTGTGTTTCTATCAGGCCCAAGGTTTTAGAGTAATTGTAGATCTATTAAGTCAATTTAGATACATTTATGCACTACACATTTTCCAAGAGCTTAGTTTCACACTGGTTTTGAGAGGGACCTCAAAACCAAGAAAGGTAATTTACTCTTACTGCCTCCATGCACAGAAGAACAACTACTTCTTACAGAAAAAAAGAGAGAGGCCAAATGTGCAACTACCAGCTTAATTTCACACCCCCCCCCGCCCCCCCCAGCTCTACAACAGGTCTTGAGAAAATCCAGACGGAGCAAAGGTGCTTTGCAGTTCCTTAGGGGCCTGGACAACGTCTTTTTACCTGCGGTATACAGTACTGGGGGCCCTGAGGCATCGGGTAGGGCATTGGCAGATGATTAACCATCATGATGTGCTGGTTGGTTTGATACACCGCCGTCGGCGTTTGCGCACCAGGACGGATGGAAGGGCTGCTGTTCTGGATGGTGGCTCTTGGAGGCTGTATCTGAGGCCTCTGAAAAAACTAAGGTAGGGAGAGAGGAGGGAAAACAAAAAGCCGGTCAGACGTTCTGCGAAAGGATTTCAAATATCATTACAATATTATAATTATAATACTACTTTCAAAGGGTTGCCACACATTCAGAAAACTGCAGGACAATTTCTTTTAATCTGTAAATGGTAAGATCGTGCTCTAGCCCTCTATTTTACAAGGCAGAAAAAGGTAAGAAACTTTAAACTCCCATAATTATTAGTTTCTATCTATTGAATTATACAGCTCAACTTTCAGAGCAAATGTTAGGAAAAGGATTTTTGTCAAATATATTTTTTATAAGGTGGGTTGACTGCCAAAAAAAAGCCACCTTTATAAATATGCCAGGGAAATAAAAGATCAAGGCAACTGTTCCAACACACTCCAGAACAGCTGAAAAGCCAGATTTTTACAAAGGCCAGAGGCGCCTCGTGCCTATCCTTTATCTGAACTGAGCCGGGTGACTTCTCTTGCCCTTCGTTTTCAGAAAGGTGGCAACCTCTTCCAGGGTGGCACCGCACTCTTCTACCACGTTTGCATGAAGTGATGCCCCACGCAGACGGACCAGGTCCAGGAAACCAAGCAACCCACTGGTACCCGCTCCGTCCTCAACCCTTACGCGCTGGGAAAGGCATCAGCATCCACGGGATGGAGCATTCATGGACTGGAAGACCTTGCTCTGGAGCCTTCGTAATCTTGAAACTCAGTCGGTAAGATATGCATCAGACATTAATGCATTCACTAACGGAGTAATGATACGAGTGAGAGAGACACTTATGCCATGCAGAACCAGGAGTTAAAATTACCTGTATAGGTCTGAATCCTCCCTTCAATAACGAAGCAAGAAAGCAGCAGGAAACAGAAAGAAAGCCAATGGAACAGCTTACAGATCAATAGGAAGGAATAGGATATCACATGCACCCTAATTGCACACAATTCCATTCATCTTTCTACGCTGCTTTGACTAACCTCTTACAGAAACAGCAAGAAAAGACCCTGAACTGGTACCAAGGACTCTTCTACCAGAATCCCAAGGCAGTGGTCAGAAACTCTTCTAGAAGAGTTTTATATGGAAGTATGAAAGTTTCAAAGTGAAAAAAAAATCCAACCAAACCATGATTAACTGTAGGAAATATGCTACTACAGAAAGACTTTATCTTTACTCTGTTCCTAAAACATCAAATATTTTTCCTTTCTGGTCTCTCTTCAGTGATAGAGAGATAGCAGATACAGCAGAAACCCTTGCTCAAATCATGGATTTGGACTCCACTTCTGCACCAAGACTGGAAGGATAAGAAATGCCACATATTTAATTGTTAAGCAAAAGAAAAAAAATCATAATTAGGTCATCATGCATCACATCGAAGACTGCTGACTGATGAAGTGCATTGATGTGAGTAGCTATATTATGAGCGGTGAGAAGAAAGGAGTGGTAACCACTACGGAATGAAGGAATGAGCTGGGCTTATCTGCCTCTGCATTCGGGAAGAATGGGGTGGGGCGGAAGGAAGCTGCGATGACTCTATACTTGACGTGACAATGAGCTTAAAAACGGTCATTCTGGTGCTGCTGAGGACTTTACGGCACCTCAGTTGTTCCCCATAGCCAATGGTTTCTCCAGCAAAGCCACGGATGATTCCTTATCTCGGAAATCCAGATACCATCAAGATGAGCACAATGCTTTTACGTCCAGCCCTGCTAATCCAACCCTGAAGAACTGTCCCTGGCCCACTGCAAGTGTGACCTGAGCCAGGAGAAGGCAACTGTTTGGGGAGAAAAGGTTGGCAGCGAGGGCGCAGAAAGAAACCCAGAAGAGCAACATATTACCATGCTCCCGCATTGATAAAAACTGTCTGGCTGTGGGGGAACTACATCGAGTGTTGCCTGAACCAAGGGCACACACTGAATCTACGGTGTGAATAACTAGAGCCCGCAATTTTTCAATACCCAAAGACACCAAAAAGCACAAGAGTCCTTTCTTCTTTCACTTCAACTCACCGAACGACTAATTCCAACCTGTTAGCAGGTTACAGCAGAAGTCTCCCCAGGGTGGGGTGTGGAGGAAGAACAGTCAATAGCCACCACAATTCTGTGTTTCTGCAGAGTGAAAATGGGCTGGAGGTTGAAGTGAGACCTGCCTCTCCACTGATGGTAACTACATCCACAGGGCAGCACGGAAAAGCCTTTGCTGCAAGAGATGGGAGTCCTCCACCGGTGTGAGCCTCAACTTCTGCTGCACCTTGAAACCCTCTAATAACTTCACTGAAACCATCGAGGAAATGCTTACAGGAACAGAAACTCCTTCTTTATGGATAGCTTTTCATTTCTGTCACTGGCAACTGGTGACTAAAAGATCATGAGATGTTATCTGTCGAGGCGACACGCTGAAGAAACTCCGTTTCACAAAACACAAGCCAGCTCTCTTTCCCGCCGTGGCGGGAGGAAGGAAAGCACGCTCTGTGCGCCAAAACAGGCGGGGTGCTGCACAGGTTTGTTTTTCTATCAAGCAGTAAACACCACCATGGTAGTGCTAAGCTGTTCTACAGCAGAAGGAGGACCTCTGGTGAGGATACTCTAGGTTAAAAAAACCCTCAAAAATACTCTACACTGCCCACACCATCGCAGAGGTGGCTCAAATTCAGAGATGGAGAAAAAAGGAGGAGAATTTCGTTACTACAAGGAAGATGGACACAGCAAGAAGAAAAGCAGATCCATTATTCCAAGCAACAAAACCATCACAGAAGCTTTTGGAAGTGCCAACCAGAGATCCCTCTGGCAAAGTTTGAATTACTTTTAGCTACTCCACTTCCTACAAGTAAAACTAAAATTCTCAAGAAAAATCTGGTCTCATCAGAGCATCGTGCACCTGATCTGCACGTGGGGTTTACTGCTCAAAACAAGTATCATCTGGTTGGCAAATTGTTTTATGCTCCATCCTTGTTCCCGTCCCTCCAAACCCAGGCTAGCCATATTCAGAGTCATTCTTAGAAATGTTTCAACTATTCTGACTTGATTTGCTAAAAAATTCATCTTGCAAGGTGAAACAGGTGCCTGCACAGACAACATTTTCAAGTAACGCTAATGATGTCCTATTGGAGAGCACCAGATTAAAAAAATGGAGGTATTTTGTCTCTATTTCTTCTAACAAGTGCAGGATTTGGAGTGGAGCACATACAGGACCCACTCAGGACCAGAATGAAGGTACCCTGGGCCACAGCAAGGCTTCTGATAGAAACCCTGCGCTACACCAACCCTTCCTTGACCAATTCCTCCGAAAGTCCTGCTATGTCTAACAATGGTCAAATTAGTGTGAAGCTCGCTATACAGTTGTTCAGCAACCAGTGAGGACCTGAGCCATGGTCCTCAAGTCATGGTCCCACCCCTTATCTGTCTACCTCTGTTAGGGAGGGATTTCTGGGATCATCTTGGAGCCAGTACTACTGGGCCATACAGTCTCTTAACTTTTTCCTTCCTAGGGTTGATACCCCAATGTACTTACAGAGCACAGCTCAACAGACATCGCTTTTATTGGCTGCCTCAAGCTCAACTCTTCCAGCCTGCTTGTTTAAGAAGCTCTCATCATGTCCGCAGCCCTTCACCTACCTGCTCAAAGAAGTCTTTCTGGAAAATAAAAAAGCAGAACTGCACACACACGCCAGACGGTTTCCCCAGTGCTTCCCAAAACAGCAGCAATAACTCCATGTCTCAACTGGAAATCACTTTCCTGGTTTCTCTAAAGATGGCACCGCACAGCTGGGTTCAGCGGATGGGCTCCCACTTGACAGAATAAAACCTTCTCCTTGGCAGGGAACCATAAGGGCTTGCACCTTGCGATGCTGGATTACCCCTTGCTTCCATCACGCCGGTCCCCCCTGCACAGCATCCTCGGGCTAACCACATTTTCTAGCTTTGTACTCATCAAGTTTGCTGCAGACACATACCTGCTATTTGTGCCAGAGTAAATAACACTAATATTAAGGAAATCCACTACTAACCTCCTGCCTACCCCACTCAGCGCTACCCTGACATCTGCTACTTTAGTCACTCCCTACATACACATGCCCCGGTATCTTTTTATTAACCATCATCTTCTACTGCTCCATCTTCTTCCCACATGACCGTGTCAAAAGTCTGCTGAAGGCCAGCCAAATAAGAGGCTGTCATCTAGAAAAATCAATGATCAAAGAGGGCACCAACCTCCTCCTGACAAACCACCACCGCATTTTAATTGATTTTCTATTTACTCTGCATTTCTAAGCCATCACTTCCAGTGAAACGTCTGTGGAGCACTCCCTCCCTACTACAAAAGCTTCACTGAAAAATAAACTTGTGATAAGGGCACTGAAAACAAATCTGTGCTACGCTTAGCCCGTCAAACACAAGGTGCATAGGCACCCGCCTTTTTTCTTCTAGATCAGATCAGGGCTGGCAGTTGCTGTGGGACCACAAAGCCCTGCAGAAGGTGTCAGAGAAAGAAAGCAAAAGGGAAGTTCAAGAAGTTGCCATCAACACCATCAAAACAAATTGCACGTGCAAGCTCTCCGCTTCAATTAAGCTTCTCGCACCCCGAGACAGCTCTGTTAGTCGTTTTCAGTCTTTTTGGTCCAACTAAGGCGGCTGGTGGGATAAGCCCTGACCTGGGAGAGAGCAGAGGAGGTGTCTGCACAGGCCATACGGTGGGAATCACATCTGCTTGCAGATGAAAGCTGGCACGTTAGATCTGATTTTTCAAACTTCAACAAAGGCTCCAGGGCTTGGCTGAGGAGCTGCAGCCTGGAGCTGTAAAGATCTGGTGCCAGAAGCAGGAGCTGGAGCAGAAAGTCCACAGGTCTGCACCTTGCTTCCCCAGTGGCCACCAGCAACCTAGTGCAGCCCTCTGGGCACACCATGAGACTTGTTCTTCCCTCCTGCCTCAGACTTTCCCAGTTTTATTATTTACTAAATAATGAAATGGGAGGGAAACCCCTTTTTGTGTGAACCATGGGATTTAAAGCTTGTAGCTCCTTTCCACGCTTGTGGATGAAGGCTGAGAAACGACGAGGGCTGCCGTTTCCAATTGCTTTCTAAACTCAAGACACTCCAAACGGCTACAAAATGGTTAGTCTTGAGCCAGCTCAGGGAGTGGATTCTCGACCTCTCCAAATCACAAGGCCTTTTAACAACAGTACCCGGCCAAACCCAGCTTTCTGTTGTATAAGCTACACCCAAAAGAACTCGAGTAACCCCAAGCTAAAACTGGAGCAAACTACACGAGCAACCTCAAACTAAATTAGTCTGCCACAACCAGTAAACTAATCTCAAACACAATTATAAGTCAGAAAGGGAACTGTGACATTTCAGTTTCTAGTTGTTCTTGTTTCTGTTTTCAATTACACTGGCCTCTTCTGAGCACTCATTTTAAAATAGCCCCTATGCTCCTGAAGTCGCTTCTTCAATTAAGGGTTATTCTACATTTCGGATTTCAGATTAGAAAAAACCTGCTATTTTCAAGTGTGCTTCATGAGGATCAGAAGCAACAAAGTGACTCAAGAGCCTCACTTTTAGAAAGAAAGAAGGAAAAACTAAGGGATGCTCCACGCACAAAGTGGGAGACAGCAGCAAGCCCGGGCAGGGCAGCAGCTGAGTCCGCTACAGCTTTTCAAGAAAAACGCAGGTTGAAAGAATATTTAAAAATACTGCCACAAGACATTCTGTAGGGCTTGTTTTCTTTCCCCTCTAAAACGAGACTTTTCAGCAGTTTCTCAGGTTGCCGTGTTAGTGCAATCAAGGGTTACTGATTTTCATCAGAACCACTGCAGCTACTTTCATTTGACTTCAGCCGCCGTTTACTTCGCACAGCATCCTAAACCTCATTCTAGTATTTTCTCTCGTACAGACTTTGATTACACTTTCTATAGCATCAAGTGGCTTAGAGCTACCAGGGCAGGCATTCCCATCAGAAAATAAATCGCTTATGAAGTTGCCAGTCAACTTCAGGTGCTTAAAACCGTGCTTATTTGAGTGCTTTAAAGATCTAATAATTACAGGAAAGAATATTAAGGAACAGACCATTATTTGACTGAAAAAGACACAGAATCAATACGAGTTAATAAAATCATGCTGGGATTGACACAGGAACTGCTGCAAACCTCATCTTGCTGCCACTTCCTTAGAAGAGCGCGTTCTGTTGTTGCAAAAAAATATTAACACCGCCACGGCCGATTTACTTATTCAGTACTTCTTAGGTTACCAACGCTCCGTCTCCAAGCCTTCTGCTTACATTACACAATTTAAGCATGTTAAAAGTTTCCCATGTGAGAATAACTATTTACGTTGGTCTCAAGCACACTCTAAGTCTTGGGTTCGGGATGAACTCGCTTCAACAGCCATGACCTTCCTGCACGGGTCAGTGGCAAAACTCCCTCTCTCCAGCCCCAACCCGCGCCAGGGGCAGAGACTTTTGGATTAGAAGTAAACAGCTCATCAATAGCCCAGCTTTCTCTGTGCCAGTCCTGATCCAGCATGTCGCAGATATAACTGGGAATAAAGCCTGAAATGTTTTTCTAACAGTGACAGCTTTTCTCAGCTCATCGTGAACAGTCTTCAAACGTAACAGCGTCAAAAAATCCAACTGCAACACAGTCAAGTATGTAGCGACAAAAGCAGGAAAACACTTGAAAATTACAAGTTTTAACCTGCAGGCAGGGTCATAACTGGGTCCAAAAGAAAGTTTTAAATTGAGTTCTGACAGATTGGTGGTACAGCCACACCAGTAAAGCCACCAAGTGCTGAAATTGTTTCCTCCAGGGCTGCAATGCCCCGAGAGTCGTGGTCCAAAATCTGCTCGCAGGGAGCTCGGTAACTTTTAAAGGAATATGAAAAGGCTGACGGTGAATATATAGTAACAACCCATGGAAGAGCTAACGAGTTCCTGAACAGCGATGCATTTTTGGTGTCGCACAACACAATCACAGACCTGAAGTCGAGGTCAAGAACAAAAGTGTCTAAACACAACCCTAATTCCGTCGCTCCCTGCGTCGCCCAGTCATCCTGCAAACATGCCCCCCCCGCCGCCTGCCAATGCAATCCCTTGCCACGCACAAAAATCATTTCTCTCTCTCTCTCACATGACATTTGCCTGCGAGCAAACAAGTGCAAAGGCCTCATTCCACTTTTTAAGCCTTTTTTTTGTCCTGCTCTGGAAGAATGCCTGCCTCCATGCTGCTCTCTGAGGTGGAAGGAACAAAGATTATCAGGTTTTTTTGGGTGGCTGGGCCCACTTAATGCACTTACCTGCTCTCCTGAGACAATATATTCCCAAAGGTGCTCGTCTCTACAGTATTAAACTGCTCAGATTAACAGGAGTGAAGTGAGAACAAAAGAATTCTCTGAAAACAAACCTTCCGTGACTTAAGCCTCTGTCCCAACATCACTGGAATTAATCAATTAATGGTTGCTTTTTTTTCTGATTAACTTGGTGGAAACAAACCGGTTCCTTCCAAACCAAGAGAAGGAAGAATGACACGGAAACAACGGAATCTGGGAGAGTTTTCCTGCGCTTGCCATGACTCTCCTCCTCTTTTCCACCCAGCAGTGCCACCTCTGTCCCCTCGAAAGCTACAACAAGCAGCAAAATCAGTCCTCAGGGGAAAGGGGTTTTGGCAAAGATAAACGTAGGGGTTGGTGGAGAAGACTTTGGACGCCCGATTAGGACAGAAGGGATCTGTCCCGACGCTGAAGAGGTCCTCTGGGTATTTCTGCCCCCCTAATAAGCGCTGCCCATGAGCTTCATGAGCCAGAGCTACTCCTAATTTTCATTCTTCTTAATTAAGTGGTTCCTAGCACAGTCCAAAGTCATGCAACAGGAATACTACAAAGATTCCTAAATGTCTGGCTTTCACAGGGTGAGTAAAACCAACATCAAGCAATGTAATGGTAACAGATAACCAGGTGTATCACACAAGAAACACGTGAACTGGAAAGTCATTTGCCTTGCTCTGAGTTTGAAAAGTTGGGTTTTCTCAGGGATGTGAACGCCCGGTTCTCGTTGACCTCTTCAGCTCAGGCAACTTAATCCACCACCTAGTTTGGGAAATACTCGGCAAAGTTTCTAGCGACTTGAAAAGGCAAGCAAACCTCACGAAGGCCTGGCAACAATCTCTACAGGTTCTCCTTTCCTACCGAAACGGCGTTAAGCAGGTGGTTAGTGAGTGCAGTGACACCAACGGAGAATTAAAAGCGTTACTCGGCGTTGCAGGCAGCTTGTTAGCGGGGTTAGGCACGTGCTAGTATCTACTAACGGGGCTGGTTTCCGAAGCGAGCCTTCGTTCTGAGTTAGTGGGTGAACCACCTCCACCCACCCGCCTCCCCCAGGCAATTAGTTTAGGGTGATAAGGAAGGGGCAGGGTACTGTACCTGGTGATGGGCAGGTCGAGGCCCCGCTGCAAACTGAGGAAAGGCGGGAGAAACAAACACAAAAGGAAAGGCACAAAGAGTCAGAAACACCACAACGAAACCAAAATGTCACACTCTACGCAAAATAAACCCACAAGAAAAGAAAAGAAAAAAAAAGAAAAAAAGAGAAAAAAAACAACAACCAAACCACAAAACAGTCAAAAGCTTTGCTGCAGGACAGTGACAGACAGGTACTGAGATCTAACGAGTGAACATCGCTACGGGGCAAGTGTGCTGCTCGAGAGCTGGGAGATAAACAGCCAAAGCTGCTGGTTATTTTAAAGGCACTCTAGTTTATGAATGCAGGCATTCGGTACCCTGCCTGGGGAAAAAAAAACAACCAATAAAACAGAAAAAAAACCCAACTTAAAACAAGCAGCAGTGGAGATTTTTAAACTGTTTAAGGTGGAGGTAAATGGTTAAAGCAGCCGGACTCAGAGCCGTTCCAAATATTTGGTGGGAGCAGAGGATGGAGACTGATGGCTGGAGAGCAGTTAAGAGCCAGGTAGGCACAGGTAGTGTCCTGCCGGCGAGGGGGCAGCGGGAAACTCCCTGCAAGGCGAAGGTCAGCAATTCTTTGCATGTACACACAGTGCAATTTCATTTTCAGCTTTTTTTTTTTTTCCCTTTTTCCCGTACTGATCACAATACAACCCTCCTCAACGAGCTGGATTTGTCACCCCCCTCTGAAAGCGAAGGAGCCAGATTAACCCGCGATGTCCCTGGGGAGCTGAAGGCATCGGTGGTAGAGCTTGGATGGAGCACAGGAGGTCCTGGTTCCCAGCCCTGAGCTCAGGTGACTAAATCACTTCCCACCCACTTGGGTCACACACGGAGGAAAGGAATCAGAATTGAAACATGCTCAGTAAACCTTAAAAGCATTTTTCCATAAGTAACTGATTGTTAAAACAGAAATAAAAATGAATGCAAGAAATGGAAAATAGAAATAAAGATGAGAAGGTGTCCTCTTCGAGAAGCCGAGTTAGGCATTTAAACCCTTTATTTGCAGTGTAACGAGCAGAGCTCCACGATGAGAGCAGATAAATCTATTGATAATAGCTCCAGCAATTAAACGGAGCAAACGGAACGAGATCCCATGGTGGCTTTTTACCCACCACGTGCCTCTACCTGTTGCTGGTTGTGAGGCTCAGTAACTTAATGCATGTGCCAAAGCACTCGGTACAGTCCACCTCTGCTGCGTCGGTACGTTTTACTTGCTGCCTGAGAAGAGTGGTCAAAACCGGCCTCTAATTATTTATTTTCTTAGTAAGAGGGTTTTTTTGGTAAGAAAAAGTGGACTGGGGTTCACTTGCAGCCCTACCTCCCAGCTATTTTAATGTCACCAAACATGAGAAGCAAAGTGTAAATATTCACTGGTCCAGCTGATTTTCTCCTTTATAAACATTTTAATTGCCTATAGTTAAGATTTCCAAGAACCAGTCTACTAATACCAGAGTTTATATATTCCTTCTACCTTCACCTCACCGTGACACTTGGATGACAAGTCATAAAAACCTTCAGAAACGAGAATATGCACACACGGACTGTTCCTAGTACAAGAGTTTATAAGGAATGACCTGCACTGATTCACCAAATAGAGAGTTTTCCCACCCTTGCAAATCTTCCCTAAGCCTTACATAAAAGAAAAAAAGCAGAGCATGATTGTCTTGTAAGACTAAAGAGCTAAAATTTCTATTTTAATAGCAACCGCAGGACAGAAGCGCTCGAAGAGTCTCAGCATCCTCCCAAGGCTCAGGGTGTGAAGAGGACAGCGGCTCTGCTGATGGGTCCTACAGGGAGGAGAAATGGGCACCTGGACGACTCTCGGGAGATGAATGCACTTCAAGCCCTTATTTCCCTAAAGGAAAAACTCCTCAAAACCAGTTCAAATGTCTTGCATTTGAGAAAAGGGAACGAAGCTTACCCTGGAAGGGCTGACAGAAGCCTTTCCGGCAGGGCTACACACTCCATGTTCTACACCAATGAAAAAAAAATAATTAAAAAGAGAATGATGGGGTGTAAAAACCTTGCGTTGCTTCATTTCGGGGCCAAAGTACCTCTCATCACTGTTCCACAGAAAAGTTTTGTTCTCACTGCGTTTAAAACAAGAGCTGGAAGCTTACATCTTACGAAGCTGAAGTACGTTCCAGGGTGAGAAGTAATACGCGTTACAAGAACAACAAAAGGAGATAAAACAAAATCTCAAAGTTAGTGAAAAATACCCTAATCTATATTGCACTGGTCACCATTGGCTATTGATTTTTTTTTTTTTAATTTATAATTTTTTTAAATAATTCAGGTTGATAGGATTTAATCCTATTAGTAGCTGTAAGCAACAGAACAAACTGTAGTCACTGCTGGCTCGGATTAAAGTAGACACTTGGAGTTTCTTTTCCCTGTCCAGTGAAGGTAGGAGATAGAAAGGAAAACTTCTTTATGCAACCTGGGTCCTACGTTGCTGCCACCCACACTCTTCATGGCCCTGCTCCCTGCTTTGTGGCCAGTGGGGCCCGTTCTCTACCTGCTGATGTGGAGCCTCTCTGAAAACAACCACTTGTGGATCACTCCAACACCCTTCTCCGATCACTTTTTTTTTTGGCAGACCTCCTAGAACCGGACAGTTTGTGTTAACATCCCCTGGTGCTCGGGGCTGGCATCAGCAAGAGCTAACGGATAATTTTCAGTAGTGCTGAATGACACTGATTTCGTTTTCCTTCCCCCAGCTGGAGCCGCACCGTGAAATTCTTGCGATCGGAGTGATGCTACGATGCTGACGGGGAGAAAACACGAAGCCAGTTGGGTTGCAAAGGCAGCTGTCCTGGCAGGAACAGCAAAGCCTGAACCGTGCAATTCCCAAGGGCCCTTGGATGCAGAAACAGGATGGAGGAAGCTCCGGCTGCTCGAGGAAGCGGGGTTTGGATCCACCCCGTTAGCACAACAGCCTACCTACCCGCACCAGCTGCGGGACGGACGGGACTGCGCTATGGAAGCCTGGGGATGGCAAAGACATCCTGCCGCCTTCCTCGTCCCCTCTTCACCCTCCCCTCGCCACCAAAAAAAAGACGGTTAAAAAATAAATTAAAAAAAAAATAATTAAAAAAATAAAAGTAGATCAAGCCCAGAACAAAATGCAAGAGTAGTTCAGGACTGAGCTAGCCTTGCATTTGTTTTGGGGTGGGGAGGTGGAATGAGATGTTATGGGTGTGGCTTTTAGTAATGGGGGTGGAAATGGTCACTAGCAGAGCAGATGGCAAAAACTGCACACAGGAGAGTTCGAAAAAAACAATAGAAAAATGGCTGACAACTGCAGACAAATTCTTCCTCGATACCTCCTCAGTAACGGGGCCACAGCCCTACAATTTGACACGTATTCTGGCCGAATTTCCTGAAGACGTTCGCTGTTGAGTGGCAAACCCAAAGCCGCCGTGGTCTCTGTCCTACACCAGGTCAGACCCTCCCAACTGCAATTCAACTTGGGACCTTGCGTCACCACCGAACTTGGCAGAAACTGCCACGGTAGCTCATGCTTTTAAGCAAAGAAGCAAAATCAGTGCATTTCTGTAGATCAGCCAACAAAAAAAGAGGTGGTAAAAAATAAAATAATAATAAAGAAAGAAAGGAGGAAATAAAAACAGTGCCATCGGCACAATTGCCTGCAAGAAGGAGTACAGTTTGTTATATTGCTTACAATGCAGTATTTTATCCAGCCTCTTCCAGCCAGGGACCTGTAAACCGGACTCTGTTCCAAAACCTTCCTCCTCTTCCAGTTGTCTGTGCAATGTATTGGCACTGTTCTGCTGGGCTGTCAAAAAAACTGGTTTAGAGATGCAGCTCTTCAGTCAGGTTTTTGCTCCAGTTCTAACCATATAAACTTATTTGCGCTTTTCAACAATTAAAGAGAAAGAAGATGATTATACTTACTGACAAAAGAGGGGGTTTTACCATCAGTATCGCACGCTACTGATCAGAACGGGGGACTAAGGAGGTGGAGGGGGATCCGCTTACAAATTCATAGCTGTCCACATCACAGAAACTTCATCAAACTGATGTTCATTGGCTGGTTCATCAACACAGAGGTTAACGGGCCTCGGAACTAACCCTCCTGCGAATCCCCTGGAGGCGAGACCTCCAGAAGCGGGGCAAGCCCATCAGTGCAGCTGCACGTGGGGGGAAAGCTTGCCCTGTATATACACGTATATATGTATACCTGTTATGGGGACAAACAGAAGACTTGTGTCTCGGAGGCTGCAGCAGCGCTCATCTTACTCTAAGAAGAGAAGAGCGCTGGGAACGGTGCGGTGGTTTTATAGGTAACCTGAAAGCGTGACGACGCAGATGTGGACTTGCAAGAGGCGCAGGGATAGCTCCTCCCTTGGCCAACTGAGGCTTGAGACACGGTGATGGTGAGCTACCATGCCTCCAGAAGCTGGACTAAGCACCTGATGCCCTAGGAGGGTCACCTAGCATCGTGTGGAGCTGCGCTACGAGCAGAGATTCCCCAAAAAGAGGCTGGTTTGGGGAACCAAAGGCCTACAACAGCAGAGCAGTATGACAATACACACACACACAAAAAAAAAAACCAACACCCCTCCCCCCAAAAAATATTACGGGGGACAACCAAACCTGAAGGGGCTCACCCCAAAAAGATCTGGGTATGCAGAAGCTCGATGCTAAATGCGTGAGCACCTACAGGGTGCTCGGCAGTAAATGGTTAGAACTGATCCAGCGGCACTGATTTGGGTGTAACGCCCAGAGGCCACTGGAGCCTGAGTGCTGCTGCAGAGAATCGCTCTTGCTTACTGATCTTTGGTCTATCACTTTATCAAATACTTCCTTGAAGAAAAAAAAAAAAAAAATGAAGAAAAGAGAAAGATTCTGGTAATGAATCTAAACTCTAAAATGAAGTGAACCTGAGAGCCCCTATGCTAAAAATAAATTGTGTTATTTGAACACAGATGAGAAACCCTTCATCGCTTCTTTTCTGATAGGCCACTTTAAAAGGAACATTATCCTACCAGGACAACGTCTGAAATATTCAATAAAGATTTCCCATTTGGAATGCGGTTCCAGTTCAGTAAAACGCGCTTTCCAGAGAACTGGCCAAGCGCTACAGACACACACATACACACAGAGAAACACACAAACGAGGAAGAAAGAACAGAAGATAAGGCAAACGTGGGCTCCTTACCGGCGAGCGGGTCTGAGGCTGGGTGTTCATTGTTTGAGGGGCTTGAGGGTACACCAACGTGGTTGGAGCTGCATTCTGTCCTGAGGGGTAAGGAGCCTGCCAGGGAACAAGAAAAGGGAATTAAGAACGGGTGTATCAAATGATTCATCCCAAAAGATAGGAACTAAGCACATTATCAGACGCACTGCTGATTAACACCGAGATAAAGACGACATAGGTGATAGCGATGGAGAAAGCCTTCTCCACTACAGACCCAACCAACTTATCAACACTACCCTCAGCTCCCCAAGTGCTGCAGCGGAAAACTCAACGAAGACAACACCACGTCACCAAAACCCTCTGCTGCCCAACCCCCCGGCTATGCACTTTCCAAAATTCTCCTCTGAGCCTGTTTCCACGGAAAGTTGGACCTGTAGGTATCGCCGATAAACCCTCCAAAAGAAGACAAATAACAAGAAACAAGCTTGAATGCATTTAGTACAAGACACTGCTGCTTTAAAGCATTTGCAACACAAAGAAACGGCCTGAAGTCGTTACAGATGTCAGGCAGACCATGGGTTGTGTAAATTTTTCACAGTCCCACTGATTTCAATGGGCTATAACAATTTATACGACCAGATGCTCTCCCCCATGTTATTTGCCCAAAGTAACAATAAACTGGAGCTGTGGAGTTATGCCCATTTCACACTTTAATGAGACATTTAGAAATAACTTTTCAGAGCACCTTTTTTCTTTTTTTTTTTTTAAAAAACAAAAAAATTATAACATACCTTTTTTTTTAAAATAGTTTATTATTGTAAAGCCTGCAACAGCCTTCGCTTTCAAGAGGAATTAGCCCCAACTCCACGTGCTGCCCTGTAGCTCCTGCACAACTCCATCACAAACCACTTCTCCAGCTCATCAGCTCTTCACCGCCTATGCCTCGTGGTGTCAGCTCTGGCTACCAGCAGCCATGGTCCCTGTGAACCTCCTGGCTACGTACCAACAGATTGACTCGATGAATGAAGGAGCTCATCAGGTCTTTGGTCTCCTCTGGGAGGAAGCCTTTGGGCTCACTTTACAGATTATGGAAGAGGATATGCTTAAAAACACTGCAGTACCTCCCTGTACGCAGAATTATGATATATTCGCACCGCAAGCCTTGCTGAAGAATCCCTTCTCATCTTTGAATTTCATGGCCCTTGCATTAAAATTCCAAGAGCAGGTCTAAGGGATAAAAGGACTCGCTTCAGTTCGCAGTGTGGTACTGAGAGAATAGGTTTCACTGCACCAGCCCTCAGGCACATTTCAGGGTATCTTTGATATGAACTGTGCTATATTTGATTTGAATAATTAAGTTTTTAAACAATAAAACTAAGTTATAGTTGGTAGACCAAACCTGTTCGTATCAGAGAAAGAAAAAAGAAACTTTAGCTATCAAGAGAGGTGATCCAGCATAAAGCCTGAAGCTCTGTTTTAAGCAAACAGCTCAAGGAGTGGTGTAGAAACAACACAAAACACGCTGTTTCTAGAAAGCAACTTAGTCCTGAAGCCTGCAAAACTTCTGAATTAGCAAACTACGCCAAGTATAACCAGGCACGTTCTGGCTTTCAAGGGAGAGTCAACCAGTCCTTACGAAGGATGTACGCTTTTAAGGAAAAGAAAGCAATTTAAGAAGAGTTTTTCTCACAAAATAAAGTAGGCATGACAGCATGCCATTGGGTAAAGCATATATTTACTCCTCACCTCCCAGGCTGAGCCCTACAGCAGAGTCACAGACCTCACCCGCAGCTCAGACTCTTCAGCCCTTTCAATGTGAGCAAATGTAGGATGGTTTTGGAGCAAGAATATGGCTTATTTTGGAAGAGCATCTAGTACATCTGATCGCTGAAGGACACCTACCACCAAATGCCCCAGCACACGCTGACCAGTGCCCTGTGCCTTGCAGAGTGTCTAGGAGACAGCTGGGGTCTCTGTGTTACTCTTTTTTTCTTCTTTTTCATCCCTAGACATGAAATCCCTGCCTAATCTCCTGCTGATCAAAATGTAATACAAGGTAAATGAAAATACAGTTTAGAGACAATCCGACCAAAGAATTTTCCAGTCTCAGAAAAAACCAAGCCAAAACAAAACGTGGTGGCAGGGGATGGGGGGACTGAGCAGAGACCAAAATAGTCCCATCCCAAACACCTACTGCTGCAATACCTCCTATTCCTGCTTTGGGACCACGCTCAAACTGATCATCAAAGAGCAGAACTTAAACACAGACACGCAGACACTTAAGGACAGCGTTCCTACTTCACAAGCTGACTAGGCAGGACATCCTGATGTTTTCTACCTGGTTTTCACACTGCTTTTTGGGTCAACAAGATGATTAAAAATGTACAGCTCCAAGTACATCACTAGATCTTTGCTGTGACTGAGGATGCCAAAGCCCACTTGGTAGAGTACTTGGCTGAAGAATGCTTCTGCAGTAGTTTATACCAATACAGCAGAAAAAAACTCTGGTTCAGGAGCAATTGAATGTTTTAATTGGCTTCTGCTGCAGAAGCAGCAGCCCCTGGCAGGTAAGCAGGGCAGGTTTTCTGTTGCCCCTCCTCTCCAGGAGCTCATTTGCTCTAATCCTCTCTCCAGCCAGCACTTCCCTCCCTTCTTACCACTGGCAAAACCTCAAATGCATGTTAACAACCAATTTGCAAGAAGTCTTCTAATTTTTTTTGAGATGTCAGATGCAGCATCAAATATTTTCCCCTTTTATTTGACAAGTGTGATTCTGCTTGAGCTGCTCATGTCAATGCTGTACAACAAACAGCGTGTACCATATCTCGCAGCAGTAATGACACCATAGCAGTGAGCGATCGCAGCAGAGTAATCGAGTGCTAATGAGATGTGGGGAAGCTCTGGTATCTTTTCATCCAAAACCTAGAGAAGGTACCGACCTGATCTCCTTCTGTGACCAGGTGACCCG